ATAAACATTAAACGTATATACATAAAAGTTGATAAAATGTTAAGAAATATTTACAATATTTAGATAATCAAAGAAAATGGAGGGAAAATAGATGTGGTAAACAAAAAGGAGTTACTAATATTAGTTTAGCATAAAAAAAAATTTAAAGAACGTAAATTAAACTTGAAGAAATAAAAAAATAAAGAGGAATACTAATATGAAGAAATATAAATTTAATCAAAAGTGAAAAATAATTAACTAAAATTAAGAGAAATAAAAGATTAACAATCTATTCATAAAATTGAAGAGGAAGAAAGGAAAGAACCAAAGAAGAGAAGAAGAATAAATGAAAGAAAAGAGTGAGCCAATATATATAGAAATGCTAATGGACTATTTCGGTCAAATTTCGGTCAAATAATATGACTGAAATAAAAGGCGAAAATTTCAAAACCACGAGCCAGCGAGAATATGAGATTATTTCGATCAAATATTATGACCGAATTGTTTGATGAGGGAAATTCAAAGTTCCGCCAAAATTTTCTGACAATGGTTAACTTGTGCCCTATGTTTTCTGACCTTATTTCGGTCATTGTTATTGACTAAACTAATAATGTTGACTAAAACAATATCCACCCTTTTCTCCGAGAGTCAGTGCATGGGATAGTGTGTTTGGTTTTTCAGTCAATTATTTTGACCAAAATAATATGCATAGAGATATGGTGCTTTACGCCAAATCCTAAGGAAGAAGGGGGACTGTTTTGTTGGGATTATTTCGATCAATAAGTATGATCAAAATAATCCCTTCATTTTTTCAGATTGTAGGGTTTTCAGGATAGCCAACTTAACTTATTAAAGCCGACTCTACGGGATTCTGCACATTTTGTTTTTTTTGTAAAGCCGGCTGTAAAACACAAAACCAACTTTGTGGGTTTCCTGCACATTTTGTTTTGCTCAAACAGTTAGTCGGGTTGTCATGTGTTTTTATCAAAATAGGTTGGTAAGGCTTATGCTTAATCCTATAGTTCTTGCTTTTTGATGTTAATTCCTCTTCTTTTTACTTAATTTCTTTCAAACTCTTTTAGATAAAATTTATAATTAATATAATATAATTAGCTCTGTATTCTAAACATATATTAAAATATGTAATTGAAACACATCAATATAAAGGATAACATAATATTATAATTAAAGTGTTATGACATAGAATACTAATTAAAATACTATGCCTTAATCTCATACATGGATAATAGAAATTAATTAATATGTTGTAGAATATAGGTAAGGTAAATATACTATGGTTATTGAATATAACGTAGTTTTTCACATGCCTCATCCCAAGACTTTTTGGTAAATGTAAGATGCAAACGACCATTACCTAAAATCTTTGTAATAGTTTCAAAGGACTCAACAGCTGTTTTGGATGAGTTTGACACGACTTCATATGGAAGGTAACGATTTGGGCAAATTTTTGCAGTATGACCCTTATGATTACACAGTTGACAAACCCTTATGATTACACAGTTGACAAGTTATTGCATATTGGTGCGGGCATATAATAGCTAAATGTGAAAGAATATCACATATTTGACAGACAACGTTGTCTTCTTATTTAGGCAATGGAATGTCTTGGGGCATTGCTATATGATTCCTTGCTTTTGTTAACTTCTTCCTTGGAGGAATTCGAGATGGACAATCTCATAATAATTCAGGAGTATCTTCAACAATTCCTATGTAAATTAACATAAAATTAAGTAATATGTTAGTAAATGATATGTACCAACATGAATTAAAAAGTAATGGGAGGGAAAAGAAAAAAGAAATTATACCATTATATTGGCTGTCAAAATATGGTTGACTGTCCATTTGGCTGTCAAAATATGGTTGATTGTCCATTTGGATCTCAAAGTTTGGTTGACTGTCCATTTGACTGTCAAAATCTGACTGACTATCCGGAACATGGCTATCAAAGTAATCTTCATTGTCCATTTTGCTCTAAAAGTAATCTTGACTGTTCATTTACCACATAGTAATTGTATAATCAACTAATTAATTAAATTAATCATAGTTTACTTAGCAATTACTAATCATAAATTTTTTTATTTCTTTCTAAACTAAATTTCTAAAAAAAATTAAGGAAAAAATTTGTACAACATAATTGTAGTTTGGTTTGACTTACTTCTAATTCAAAAAAAGAAGGAGAAATTACTTATTTGAATGGGACAGATGCATCACAAATAAAAATTTTAGTTACCTTGACTAAGTGGAAATAAACTCAATTAATTAATTAGAAAGTAAAACCATACCAATGGAAATGAAAATTATGGTAAAATAACAAATAACACATTTAAATACATTAAATTCTTATGATTAAATATAAATTATATTTTCTAAAAATTAAAACATTAAATTTAACTAACCTCAACCCAAAATAACAAGATAGCATACTATATCCGAACACAAGTTGGTGAAACATAATTGATAATAATCACTTGAACATTGTGTTTAAAATTAAATTACTGCCAAAATTAATTACAAATAGGTCCAATAAAAGAAATGATGTAATACCCCAAAATTTGGGGATATTTTAGCATTAAATAAGGGATTTATTTGAGGGAAAATATTATGGAGGGGCTTAATGATCAAAATGTCCAAACTTGAGGGACTTAAAAAGAAAGGAAATTAGGATAAGGATGGCTGAGTTGTTCTTTCTTTTTCTTCTTCCTTATCCGCGTGATCTGCTCTTCTTCTTCTCCCCTGCACCCGACAAGCCCCCCAAGCCACCGACTTTCTTCCCCCTTGAGAAACCCGGTGGGATCTTGATGAATTCTCTTCCTTTCTTGTTAAATCACAAGATTTGAGGCTTAGAATCTTCCCTCTCAACCTAGAAAATCCCGGATTTGCTCTGCTCTTCTCCCCTGTCCGCTGGCTGCTATGTGGGTTTGAATTTCTGGGCATTTTTTGGGTAAGCCACAGCCAAGAAATCATCTCTTTAACCTTGATTTAGGCTGGGTTATGCTAATTTCTGTTTATTTCCCTCAATTTTTTTGGGTAGTCCGTGAGTTTCCCCTGCAGATGCCGCCGGCTTCTTCTCCCTGCTAGGTCCGGTTCTTGCTGGAAATTTCTGGTATGATGGCCACTTCTTTAAGCCCTAAATTAGCCATTTAATTGCTGCCTTGTGTGTGTC